TATGTGGGAATCGGGACAATGGTTCGACACAGCCTACGCGGCATGTACTTTGGGTGGGGCGCGTTGCAAGCATCAAGTGCTACGACACAATGTGGAGGAGATCCAACGCTGGCCCCCAGCCAATTGCCACCATGTGCACGACCCACAGGAATGGACCCCCTACACCTCCGACGGCCAGCGGTTTTACCCATCCAAAGAAGAGGCAGAGTACACAGCAGTCCTTGCCTTTGCCATTGCAGTGTCGGCTAGTTGGTGGGCAGTCCGCACAGGTCTAGCCGTCCTGCATGTCCCACGCATGCCCACGTTCATGTCAGTCGGACGCCGTGAACATTGGCTGGATATGGACCCGCGTGCAATGCGGGAGTGGGCAATGGCACCACTGGCGGTGACGCTGGGCCTCACAGAATCCTTGAGGGCTGAACGATCGGGGTTACCGGTCCGAAGGCTCGTCAAGGAGGTGATGATCGAGAACAACAAGCTACCACGCAAGACCATCTACGTCGGCCGAGGCAGCTTTCATCATCGCCTATCGACGACCAAGTGGAAATCGCCATGGACACCGGGCCACAACTGCGAAGCCGGTGAATGGCCGGCCAGGTACATTGTCCATATTCGAACATCACCTTTGTGGGACGCCTTGCATGAGCTTAGCAATATGGAGCTGGCGTGCGACTGCCCCATGGAGCACCTGTGCGAAGCGGACATGCTCATTGGCCTCTTCTTCGATGCCACCGCCCCTGGGGGTGACCCAATGCAGCGGGGCACCGATGGCCGATGGAGTAGGACTGTGGCATTGTTGCAAGGGATCCAGGCTATCCCCAGGGGGGTAGCCCTACCCATGATGAGCCAAGAAGCACTGGTTTTGGCATTCCAAAAGCTTTTCCCCGAGCACTGGTTCAAGAACTACAAGTTTGCAATGATTGAAGACCTCATCAACAGCCCGCCCTTCTGCTCATATGCCACTTGGCTTGCAGAGCGAGGAGAAGCTTGGGACGGGCCCCTAGTCCCGCATCTGGCTGCCGGGTCAGTGAGGCAGCTTGCACGGATTGGGGACGGGTGCCAAGTGGGTGCGATGACACACCGTGCCGCTTTGCCCCCACTGCTGCCGTTCAACTTGGATCCTGAGGACCACTTCAACCAAGCAGTCCAACGAGCCCAGCACCCGTTGCCCTACGAAGACCTCCCAGTCGTCGACTTAGACCTGGAGTTCGTAGCAGATGCCTATGTGGCACATGGCCAGCAGTTGCGCCCGTGGCGACAGCAGGCAGTCGGGGCCATGCGAGAGCTGAAGAGACGCTGGGAGGGGGTGACCCTCCACTTGCGATCCTTCCAAGAGCCGGCCGTCCAGCAGGTAACACGGCACCGCGATGTGGGGCTCATCGCATTGCTGATGCTGCTGACATCATGGGCAGACACCAGCTTTCCCTATGGTCTGATCCGTGGGCTGCCTGCAGTGGGCTACGCACCACCTTATGGGATATTCCCCCAACAGCCAGCTGAGGTGATCAGCATGGCAGATGTGTTGGAGGGATGGCAGGAACACAATCAGCACATCTTGGGCCAGCTGAGAGCAGGCAAGGATGATGAGTTCCTCCTGCAGCAGTCATTGGAGGACGCAGCGAATGGTTTCTGCACAGAGCCCTTGCGACGGACAGATTTCCTGCGGGCCATTGGCGACAAGGCCCATCGATTGATCCCGCGTTGCGTGATCACACAGAGCTCAGGCAAGCAGCGTGTGATCGACAATGGGGACACCGGAGGACAATCAGCCTTGTCGTCTGATGCCAACAAGCTCACATTGTGCAGTCCATTGCGCCCTGCCCAGCACATTCGCCTTGCAATGCATCGTTGGACAGAGGATGAGATGGCCGATTTCTTCGCGAACGATGCCTGGGAAACAGGACAAGAAGATCTGCCTTCAGCATACAGGTATTGCCCTATGGCATTGCAGGAAAGTCTGGGCTGCGTGGTGGTGTGGTACCATCACGAATGGCAAACCCCTGCATACCAAGTCTACGCTGGGCTACTCTTCGGACTGCCGCTGGCGGTTACATCATTCAACCGTTTTTCCAGACTATTGGAGGCACTAGCCAGGCGTTTTTGCCGAGTTTTGACATCCCTGTACTTTGATGATGCGACCATTACAGACTTGCAATCCTCAAAAGGGTCAGGCCAATGGGCCATGAATCAATTGTGTTCTCTTATCGGCTCCCCCTTCGCAGAGGACAAGAAACAACCAATGCAGAGCACCGGTACCTTTTTGGGATTGACTCATGATCTCAGCTCCATCAACCAAACAGGGCACGTACAGTTTTGGGCTCGAGAACGGCTCCATGACAAAGTACGTGACATGTTGGCAACAGCCAGGGTGACTGGCCATTTCAGCCGAGGGGCAGCATCGAAGCTGTACGGCTTGGCCAATTTCCTGGAACAGGGCATCTACGGTCGAGTGGGATATGGCGGCCTCATGGCCATCAAAGCCAGGCAAGACGAGACAACCTCGACCATCACTCCCGAGATTGAAGCATGCTTCGAGGTGATCGAAGCGGTTATGCGCTTTCAGCCAAAGCGGGAATTTCCCGTTCTGCACCTGGATCATCTGCGATTTTTGGCAGCCTCCGACGCAGCTGTCGAAGCAGACAATCCTGGTTCAGGAGGTTTTCATCTGATCTTTTTCCAGCCTGACGGATCACAAATTCGTCACAGTTTTGTCGCGACCAACTGTGCAGAGCTCCGAACACTTTGGCAACCTGCAGAGACGCATATCGCCCAATTGGAACTATCTATGGTGCTCTACGCCCTTGTCGAAAGGCCTGATCTGTTTCGAAACCGACACGGCCTATGGTTTTTGGACAACGTAGCAGCCGTCATGACGCTAGTGAGAGGACGTTCTAGCAATGCCGACTTAGCGAAGCTAGGTCATTTGATCCATCTAGCTCTGTTTGCACTGCGAGCCCAAGGATATTGGGAGTACGTCCAGAGCAAGAGCAACTGGGCTGACGATATCAGCCGACTTGGCGTCAATGATCCATGGTGGCGATGCCATGGTTTTGAATTTTATCCGTCGTACCTCCCTACAATCTTGTTCCAGCTACCCTTTGCAGCTGTCATTCTCACCTTCGAATACCTTTAGTGTTTTGGGAATTGAGTGCATTGGGTGATTCCTGCAGAGCAGGTTCCAGCCTGGGTTGCCAGGCAGCTGACCAGTGGCGAAACTGGTCTGGGGCTATGTACGTGTCACATCGTGACAACCCAAAGCAAACCTGAGGATTGCAGGTGAAATTGACTGAGCATAGGCATAGCTGTGGAAAAAGAAAGCTGCGGGAGCGCGAGACAGTATCTGTTTCATATGACACTTTGAGATGTACCCATGCATTGAGTTTGGCAGGCTTGGGTGTGCATGTATCATCTTTAAGTGTTTCAATGAATGCTACCATTTTGGCTCAAGTAAACTTGAACCAAAATAGCATTCATTGCTGTTTTCTTTCCCCACCCTCCCAACCCTAAGAGCCGACCTCCCGTGGAGATGTCCGCCTAGGTTAGGGGAGCCTGCACGGCAGGCGAGTACATAGCCTCTATCGGGGATCCTCTCTTGGGGCGACCAAGAGAGACTTTCCCTCCCTTAGGTTAAGGGATGGGTGATTCCTGCAGAGCAGGTTCCAGCCTGGGTTGCCAGGCAGCTGACCAGTGGCGAAACTGGTCTGGGGCTATGTACGTGTCACATCGTGACAACCCAAAGCAAACCTGAGGATTGCAGGTGAAATTGACTGAGCATAGGCATAGCTGTGGAAAAAGAAAGCTGCGGGAGCGCGAGACAGTATCTGTTTCATATGACACTTTGAGATGTATATATATATATACATACAAATGAGATCCGCTCTAAAATGCATATAAGGAACTTTTAAATCCGAAGGACATATATGCTTGGGCAGGGATGTATTTTAGATTTTGTTAGAAGGCGGAGACCTTTATATATGCAGTGAGATCACTTTCCTGCAGCTGAGCGCTAGATTTGCGCTAGCGTGGCGCTAGATATGCGATAGCGTGGCGCTAGATACTTTTACATAGCCAGTAGTAGTAGCAGTAGTAGTAGTAGCAGCAGTAGCAGCAGCAGCAGCAGCAGTAGCAGGTAGCAGTAGCAGTAGCAGTAGCAGTAGCAGTAGCAGCAGCAGCAGCAGCAGCAGGAGCAGCAGCAGCAGCAGCAGCAGGAGGAGGAGGAGGAGGAGGAGGAGTAGTAGTAGTAGTAGTGAGTGACTACTACTGCTACTACTACTACTCCTCCTCCTACTATACTACCTACTACCTACTACCACCGCCACTCCGCCACTACGCCACTAATACTGCCAATACCACCACTACCACCACAACCACTACCAAGGGAAAGTGGAAGGGACATGTATTATGCTGCTACCATGGAAATCGCCAGCAGCACTACCACCGCATGATGCATATACCCGCGCGGAATCCGCGCGCGTGCGCGCGGGTTGCGCGGGCGTATTGCAGGTCATCTTGGTTTGGAGATTTTAGAGCTTAAGTAGAGTAGCTGGAAAAAGAGTAAGGGAAAATGGGCCAAGCCTAGCAGGCAAGCTTTTGAGTCTGAATATCTATGAGTGGCAATGGCACTTCCTCAGATTCATTGCAAGCTTAGAAAAAAAAACACGTTCGAGGCTTGTGGCATTGGTCAAAGTCTGCTTTGGAGTTGCCTTAAATATCTACGCGCTGGTGCCATTCCCACAAAATCCTCACTTCAACAACAATAAGCGGACAAGGCAGGCCACCAACTAAACGGCAATTTTCCGGACAATCTGGGAACACAGAGTTTGACATGATATGACATGTCAATATATGTCATATATATATATAGATATGTATATATAAATTTGATACACACACATATATATATATAAATATGATATTGTATGCATATGATATATTTATATGCATATGTATATATTTATATACACATAATGTATGATGTTATTTGATGATACCTGACCAAGGCCTCCAGGCGGCTTCGCAGGGAGGCCAGGACGGGATCTCTTCAAGGGTACCCTGTTAAACATACCAAAGATGTGGAAAACCCATGGTTTCCCTAGGATAGTTTTATTGACATGGTGGATTATCCACATAGGAAAGGATATCTTCTTGATGTGGAAAAAACAATGGTTCACATATGAAGATGTTCTTTCAATGATTTCAATCGTGGATTTTCCACATCTTTTTGTGAACGTAGAAACCCTGGGGTAATGATCACTGAATCACTGAGGTTTCCTCCAGCCACCAGCAAACTTTTGGGAAACCAACCCCGTTTTAATGGACACTGGATTCATCCCCAATTTCATCAATCATTTTGGTGTCAAAATTAGATATTCCACAGCCTCTGCAGGCAACTCCCTTCGGGGCGTCAGGATGTTTCGGAGGCGCCAGCCATGCTACGTAGGGGTGCCTGGCGAACGGCGCTTTGTGCTTGGTGGATACGTTGGGTGCCTTGTTGTTGAGGTTTGGGGACTCAGACAGTCAGACACTTCTTCAAAAGAAGTCATTTGTGGGTAATCTTGAAGAAACTTTGATTTTTTGCCTGGTCGTAGAAGGCTTGCTTTTATTCTTGTTTGGCATTTGTTTTGACATAAATTGAGCAGTGTTCAACCCCCCTGTTTGTCGATGGTCATGAGGGTTATATTGCCCAATATATTTGAGATTCTCATAATCCGTTAAGGGAATTCCCATGAACCAGCTTATAGATGCTTATAGTATGTCATTGAATGACATTTTGGTTTTAATCACTGCTCAAGTGGGCGAAATGACTTCATCCTTTTTTGGGTTCCTTGCAAGGAAGACTGGCACGGCGGCAGCAGGGTGATGCCAGTTGCAAGGTGCTGTTTGTTGGGCTTTTTCGGATGGGAAATTTAGGGCCCGCTTTGTTTTGGGTAACCTACTTGCTGAAGACTGTCAAGCTAATGTTGCCAATGTCATGTGCTAAATTTTCAGGTGTGAAGTTCCACGCGAGAATCAACTTTGACAGATTTCTGTTCGCAGTGACACGAGCATATATTCAATACCACTCCCACGCCAATCTACTTCCAGAAAGGATTGCACATTTGAGACTTCATAGTTAGTTAAGGATAGTTAAGGTTTGTGGAGCATCTACGATGTTTCCGCAACCTGGTTGGTTGTACGGTCCCTGATCATCGCTAGGTGGTCCTGGAACCTCTGGGCGAGCCGATGACCCTCTTCACGAAACCCACCTGCAGCGTCACCTTCTACACCAACCTGCGGACCAGGACCGGGACGGGCGTAGGGCGTTTGCCGGTGGGGCCGGTTCTTGTGGGGCGTAACATTTCCGGTGCCAGGATGGGCCACAATCAGGCTTTTTTCCTATTTATCTCTCTGTGTACGTGTGTGTATATCGTTGTATGTATGTATATTCGAGTCGCTTCGCGACGAGTACCGCCCGCACCCAGATTATATACAAGGTGTGCAGGTCAGGGACGACTCTTCGAAGTTAAGGAGCATGGTAGTTCGGGATGCAAGGTGAAGAACACAGGGCTACTTGGCCCAACCAAAGCTGACTGTGGTCGAACTTGGGCGTCCTTGGCCTTAAGTTGGGCCGAACACAAGCCGACTCGGGCCCAACTTGGGCGTAACTTGCACCGAACTCTGGCCAATTGGCTCCAACCAGCTTGGGCCGCAAGTTGGGCTTAACCTGCGCAACTGGGTCCTGCAAGGGGGCAACTGCCGCCGAAGCTGGGCCCAAGACAGGCCCAATGTGGGGAACACGGCATAGCACGAACCCCCACTGAAGCCAAAAAACGTTGGAAATAGCAGTCAAAACGGACGTTTTCAGCGTGTCGCATTGAGTCCGCAAAAAGGGCTTGGGCCCAAGTTGCGCTATGTTGTACCCAACTTGAGCCCAAGTTGGAGTTATGTTGGGCTGAAGTTGGGCCCAAAGTTTGATCCAGATGGGCTGAACTTGAAGCCATGTGGTGCACATGGAGGTCCAGGTCATGTTCAGCATAGTGCAACTTGGGGGGCCCTTTGGCGATAGCTTCGCACTAAGTTGGGGCCTTGTTTGCCAAAGCTGGTCCCAAGTTGAGCCCATGTTGCGGACACGTGGGGTCGAAAACGGTGAATGATGTGGACGATGTTGCGCTGCTGTGCAAATTACGACAGCGGGGAACCTTTTGTTTGGCGCGGGTCCGATCCTGAAGATGAGGCCCCCGCCCAGCTGAAGCTGCGCCACTGAACGGAGGATTGTTCGAATCGATCGGTTCCGCTCCTCAACTATCACGCCGCGCGGGCGAATTTATAGCATATATATCACACTGGTTGGTGGTTTGGAACATTTTTTATTTTTCCATATATTGGGAATAATAGTCCCAACTAACTAGTATTTTTCAGAGTAAAATATATTATATATATAATATCATATCATATATATATATCATATGTATATTATATCTAATATAAACAACATATTATATATTTTGTGTTGTATATAAACTTTAAACATATAACGTACACACACATATATATATATTTATAGTAATTTATTGTATATAACCTATGTGGGAGCAGGGTCGGGGCAAAGAAGAAAAATGTGTTTTTGTAGTGCCTCATTTTTTTTTTGGTTGGGTTTTATGTTGACATGTTGGGATCTAGGTTTTAGCCTTTATCTTGAACATATCCAAAAATATTGCTTATGTAAGGCACCCCTTGTCGCCTTGGTTGCATATATCTTGGTTACTAGGGATTCAACCAGTTTTTTGGCGGAAAACCTTGGCTCCGGGTGGAGAGGTGCACCACACGGGGATATAACTACATAATTGAAAATATTTGAGCTCTCCATGTGTAGAACTTATGACTGATTATTATTCCACATGCCATTCCAAAAACCATGGAATTCTTGCCCAGTTTGGCTTCGCATTTGGGTGTTCAGGGATACTGAAAGCACGTATGTGGGCACAGGTCAAAATTATGGAACCCCCAAATGTGATGTTTAACCCTGTAACTTTGGGTCTATAGTCCTGATTATTGACGCAACCTGCACAACAGATTATACTGCATTATAATGAGTTTTGGTACCTTTGGACTGTGGACCACACAAACCTTTTTTTGAGGGGTCCACCAGATAAAACTCCAGATTTGGATGATTTGGGTTCTGCAGGAGCAATTTCTCAGGCAGTCCGTCTGCGCCGCCCATTTTTGGGGTGAGCATTAGCTCCCCACCATGTCTGGGACGCCCGGGCTGTGAGAGAGAGGCATGAATTTCACAGTGAAACGACCGGATCTCCGAACTTTGCAACAAAAAACGCGCATCGAGGTGCCAAGAAGAAAGCAGCCTCAGAGTGGCGTAAACTCAAGGCCGCTGAGGGCTGGATTGATTTGTTTGATGTTCAAATATCAACATTTATGTGTATATATATACATATAATTATATGTATATATATATATATTATGTATGATTTTTATATACATATATATGTATATATACATATATATATATATGTATATATGTATATATATATATACATATGTATATATATATATATTATTTGTTGATGTTTATTTATATATGTGTTCAAATGATCCCACATTTTTTCCAGGAGGGATAGTTCAACCACCTTCCAGCCGAGTTTGGGCCAGGACAGTCTGGTGCCGCTTCTCAGGCTAACGGCCTTCCACGTTTTCAAGGCGGCATCCCCATTGCCAAATGGTGGTTTCCTGAAATGGGGGTACCCCTAAATCATCCTCCATTTATAGATGGGATTTTCCATTATAAACCAGCCATTGGGGTATCCCCATTTATGGAAATCCCCAACTTCGAAAGACTTTGAAACCGAAATTTGAAGTACCTCGGCAATCAAACATGGCAATATACTCAATAACTCCCATCAATTATGGATTTTTCCATGAACAGCTCCATTCTTGAGGGACTTTTCCATCGCCAGCGTTGACACCTTGGTTAGACCCAGCCACCTCATCAGGCCTGTCGTCAGATTTTACCTCGATGCTTGGCCAATAGCCCAGCACGCCCAGCACTCGATGCCGTGGCCACCACGATGCCATGGAAAGTTCTGGGAGACGAGGCACATTTTTTTCGGGCTTCGAAAATGGGGGGATGACCATGGTTTCTACACTAGAAAAATTGGGATAATATGGGATATATTAAAAAAATAATGGGGTATATGGAATATTATGGGATATTAATGGGATATATTAAATATAGTTAAGGCATGTTATGTTAAGGCAATGGCTATGTCTCCATCATGGGTGAATCGGGGGACAGCCCGCCATTTTAAGCATCATCCCAGCTATGGGGATTTTAGCGCATCATCACATAGATTTCAGCTATGACATCATATAAAACCATGGTTCAACCCGCATCATATCAACTTATATCATCCACCTCATCCAAATGTTTATACAAACATATATAAACTATATCATATATCATCAGTATATATATACTGTATAGACATTTTCATCAAAGCTTATACATCATCTTACCTCATCCATTTCATCATTCCTAGAAAATATCTTGCACCATATTTTTGATAGACATTTTCTATTAGACATATGGGAATAATCAACATAAATTATATACCTATTTATTTATTATATATTTTATGGGTTAATCTTATTCATCATAAAACACTACCATTTAGAATTCTCATATATTGAGTTGAACCATCTAGACAACCCAATGGAGCCATCTAGACAACAAAAACACCCAGCCCCCTTGGGTAAAATTACCCAGCCTTGGGTCATGTGTAGTTGTCAGATTACCTCAGCCTTTGGGTAATCCACTTGAGAACATCAAATTTCACTAATAATATTTAATACTATCATTATACAACTTACCTATGTCTCCTCATCATAAAATATATGGTGAATTTCCGCCAGTTCTGTATTTCTTCTTTTTTTTTATCATGTCTATATGTTTGTTTATTGATTCCTCTAATAGGTCCATTCTTGCATTAAACATTTGATTTTTTGATTATTGCCGAAAACCTAGGAAATCCTGACACTGCCACGGACATAGCCTGTGTTGATTTTTTTAAACCCTAATTCATTTTTGAAGCCAAAATCAGACCATTTAAGAGAACCATCAGGCAATTGCACATAAAATTCAGGCAATGACACAGAAACATCAGGCAATGACACAGAAAAATCAGGCAATGACACAGAAAAATCAGGCAATGACACAGAAAAATCAGGCAATCACACAGAAAAAACCCTGATTGTTTCAGAAAAGCCCCTGATACATTCCAAAAATTCCCTGAGACTTTTAGAAACCAAATTTCACTAATAATTTTAATAACATTATTATGACATTTCCCTATATGTTCTCATCATAAAATAAATGTTGAATTTCAACAAGGTCTTTATTCTCATCGTTGTTTATCCTCTTCTTCTCAACCTAAGGTTGTCTTGGCGTTTTTTGCTCCTCTCGTGCCTTGCCTTAGTTCCTACAAATAATGAACGGTTGCGGATTATACAAACATGATGTTGAAATTTATGCTTTTCTTCAAAGTGCTTTTTGGCTTGTTCTTTGTATCGTTCTGAATTGTTTGCGCGGTAACCCTGATTGAGAAGCTGATACGCAGGCCTTTCAAGCTGGAAACTACTTCATGGCTGGGAACTTCTACACCAGGCATGGCCAGGGAAACCGCAGTAAAAACATGTCATGCGGTAGATGATCGTCAAGCATTAACAATTTGGGTAGCCTTGGGTCAAATCCCATCTTGATCGGAAACCTTGGGTTTGTGGGTGAAACCATCCAAAGCCGAATTGCGCTGCCGCTTTTCGACGATTTCACTTGGTATTTCTTGGGTTTTTGCTTGGGTTTTTGGGACAAAAACGCTTTTGTGAAAGCATCAACAGCTCAACTTTTTTTCCCATCACTTGTGCTGGTTTTCATGGTGTCCTTAGCAACTTTTGCTGGTTTTCCTTGGTATTTCACAGTGTTTTACATCCATTTTTTGGTGCTTTACCCCGATCTTCCCCAGTTTTTTTCGATTTTCCCGAGGTGGTTTGAAGACCACGGCGAAACGAATGAAATGGTCCAAGCAGCAGCTGATGCCTCAAATCGTTGGTGGATCTGGTATGGTTTATGGATGTTTTTCTGGATGTTTATGATATATACATGTACATATTATATGTATATATCTACAACTATAGTCATAATGTCATAGTTATACATGTATATATATATATATTATAAACACCCACCTTGTAGACAACGAGTTAATGAGTCATACAGCAAGATTGACACCGGGATGGGTCCGACGTTATAAGTTTACACCTTTGAACAAAAGAACACATCTATTGACTGCCAGCAATCTTGATTGATGTGAACCAAAGGGTACCATGATGGACTGATCGCTACATCCTTCCAATCTTGATGGATGGGCTCTCCCACTAGTGGTCAAAGGGGAAAAATGCAGGAAACCTATGAGTTTACCCTCAAGTCGATCCATTGAAACTTTTATTTCGATCATTAAATACGCAAATTTTTGATGATTACCCTTTTAACATACCCTCTGGTAAATTAACGTAACTATGAAAAATCACCAATTTTAATGGGTAAATCCACTATTTCTATGGTCATTTTCAATAGCTTTTTGTATGTTTACCAGAGGGTAACTATGGAACACTCTGACACTAGGGAGATCATCGTTGCGCCGCTGAGCAAATGCGAACGCCGTGTTTCGCACCCAGGTGCTGTCGAACCGGGCAGCGTGCTGGGCGAAGGCCTATATTTTTTTCATCCATTGGAACTCCCATGAAGTTTGACGATGCTTGAATACATGAAAAAACATCTCGCTGGCATCTTTGACATCTCTCTCTCTGTTCTTTCCATGGTGTTTTCTATTCTCTAAATCATCATTTGAGCTCCTTGAATCAATGTTAATCACAACTATTGGCTGGTTTTCACCATATTTGTTGCTTACTGAGTGATTTCAGCTTATTGGTTGGTTAAATCATGTTAAGTCTAATTTCATCATATTTCAATCACAATTTCTGGCTCTTTCTCCAGCAAGCGAAAAACCTGCGAGGTGGGCCACTTTGAGGCATCCAAAGATGATGCCCAACGAGCCCTGGAACTGCGTCCCAACTGGGGCAGGCTGGAAATGGTGAGGAAAATCCATTCAAAATGGTGATTTCATGGGAGATTTTTAAGGGGTTTAACTCTCGAATTTAAGAGTTTGCGAACTGGGAGCCAAGGCCCATGCCAAGTTCGATGGTGTACGGTTTTCTAAAAAGATGATTTGCAGTAAAGTAATAAATAGATATAAATAGAACATGGGGGAATGGGGCTTGAGATTAGTAGACCGCAAATTGGCATCATTTGGTGACTTTCAGGGTCGAACTCTCAAATACCCTCCCCCAAAAATAGAATATAATTAATATACATTAATCTGGTTGATCGAGATGCATGATTTAATCATCTGAGGCAGTTTCATTTGGACTGTTTTGAAGCACAGATCTGGAGAAATAACAGCTTTGGACCAATTTCTCATCCTGTTTTTTGGATGTTTTGACCTGTTTTGCCATTGTTTTGGACTTCAGGTTCATAGAATTGGATGATGGGAAAATTTACAGGAAAACCCCAACAATTTGATGGTAAAAACCATGGTTTCCTGTAGATTTTCCCTTTAACCACTCCATTGACAGGTCCCCTCCATTTTGACGGGACCGGAGGGTGAACTCCATGTCCGATGCTTCGCTCGTGTCGCTCAGGGCTTGGAGTCGGATTGGTCTGGCATCTGCCAAGATGGGCCAGGCGGGAGTTCGAAATTTCTCCTTTGTACAGTAGATATTGTTATAATATATATATATAAACATACTGTACACATATATATATATGTGTATCTGAACATATTTTTTCAGATATACATAAACACGCACACACGCATACATGTGTATCTATATAGATATCTACATCTATACACATAAATAGATATCTGTATCTACACACATATATATATATAATGTATATCTATATAGATATCTAAATCTATACACATATATAGATATCTGTATCTACATATATATATACATATATATATACACATACATATAAATGTACATATATATATATACACATACATTACATATACACTTGTCTAACTTGTGTAGAGTACATTTCTAGTTGTTTTATGTATATATTACTTCCCTAGTTGTTCAGATGATTAGGCAATCTTAGGCAAGTGTCTAGAATTGTCCGAAAGCATCCTCTGTGAAGAAATGCATGAACACATGCAAAGGCCAGCTCGCTTGTGTCAGCGATGCCAGGGGAAAGAGGCTATAGATGCTTACAAGAAGGCCGTGTCTTTCGATCCCTCGAGCCAGAAACTTGGAGAACTCACCAGTCGCCAGCCTTTTTTCAGAAGCTAAACTGTGGGGTCGTTGAGGTGCCAACGTAGATGCCTTAGCCTCTGTGGTCCGGCAGGTGCGGGATTTCCAGTCGATGATTTTTGGTCAACTGAATGGGCATATGGGCGAAGTATGGCGAAGTGATGCACGGGGTTTTCACCTCGAGTCTTCACAGAAAATTTGGAGTTTACATGATTTTACTATAACATCTTGGATGTGAATCACGGCATTTGATGAATTCAAACCACCGAAGTCCATCGGCAGTTTAAGTGGGGCTAAAAAGTCCATCCATCCGGCATAGAACATCACGGCGGAGATGGAACCATCTTTCTGGTTGGTGATCTCAATGTTGTTTTCTTAATTATTTGGGATAATCATCCCACGTGACGAAGATTGTTTGGGTTCAAAACATAAAACAAACTATCATATTTAGATGCATATGCACATATTTTTTACATGTGTGTTTTTTCCAAGCAAGAACCAACGAACATATCAAACAGAAAACGGCAAGTATCAAACAACGTCACCGAAGCACCTGACACTTGACAACGAACCAAAGGAAGAGGTATGATGGGGTTAAAAAGACAGATAAAGTTGATTTTCCATTAAACCATCCAGCCATTGGGGTATCCCCATTTATGGAAACCCCCATATATTAATGCATATTCATCATGAGAGGATTTCAAGCACCAAAAGACATCTGCGAATTAGGGGAGCAGAAAAACCTGCCATGCTCTAAAGCCCAGAGATGCAGGTCCAGTTAGTAGGGTTAAGTAGGTATATCGTCACAATGATCGTCTTTAAATCCATGCCAAATGGAGGTTACCATGCCAAACATGACCTCATTACAGGATGATTCAAAGAAAACCGGTACTAAACCATCATGTTTGATGGTGAACCACCCTAGGACTATCCAAAAATCACACCGCACACACCGCACACCCTGGCGCCCAAGTCTGCCTGGTGCCAGTTGAATGGGCCGAACACGGACTTGGCACATGCTGAGAAGGAGAATGGCAATACGGTGCGATGCCGAATGGCAAGGGGGAACGGCAAGAGCTCAACTGTTTTACGAAAACCCATGTAACTAGGTCTGTATCCAGTACATACATACATACATGCATGCATGCATGCATGCATACATACATACATACATACATACATAGGTGCATACGTATCCACATATGACAAATAACTATAGCTGTGTATTTGTATCGATATAGACGATACACTTCTTACATGAACAACTGAAAACTAGATCAATACTTATATGATATTCTATCATGATTATATCCATATAGTATATTATATGTATACAATATTTGCATATATATATATATAATATCATATCGGATACGATATTCTTTCATGATTATATCCATATATGATATATTATATATATACAAATATACAATATTTGGAATAACATACATAGATATTATACATACAATATTAAATATGATATTAGATCCATATGTGATAATTATGATAATATGATATATCTTATATATCTCTAGATATATATATCTATATACCATATTATCAATCTTATATATCTCTAGAGATATATCTAGATCTAATTATATAGATATATCATATTTATGATCCCCTTCAACTTTTAGCACCGCTGCAGGCCATGCGCGGTCACGAATTTGGCGCGGCCGTGGCCTGCTACACCGTGGCGCTGGTGCTGGTGCCTCCAGAGGCGCCGTGGAGACAACCCAACGGTAGATATGATTTAACAAACAAAACGGTGAATTCTATGATTTCTGGTAGATATATCATGATATATCATGATATATCTATAATTCTCCATAGATAGTGGGAAATCATGGTTGATTAAGTGTTTTGATCTGGGATTGAACCATCGCTTTAGTGGTGGTTTTATGGTAGTTTAACTATTAGAAATATGGGCATAGAGGTGCTAGATACCCTGATTGATTGGTTACTATAGGGACATCATTTCCCAATCAAGACGGATAATATATGTATATATATATAAAAGTGACATATGGGTTTTGCTTGAACATAGTAAGATTTCATAATATCCTTCTATGTTCATCGATTTTTTCCAAGATCTCCAAGCATTTTCATCCTGAAAAATCGAAGGCGAGCGCCTCGGTCCCAGAGGGCGTGGCGCCCGAAGACGAGCACGCGCTGTTGCGGTGCCTTGGCCATGGGGGTACCCCAATAGCTGGATGGTTGATTTCATGGAAAATCCGAAAATAACATGGATGATGATTTGGGGGGGTATCCCCATGAATTGGAAACCTCCTAATATGATAATTTATATCAATTTATGATATAGATCTAGCAAAAGCTCCAGTAAATGAGAGGTTTCTGAAGTGGTTATGGGTCAAAACCCTGGTTCCCGGATGGTACCCTAAGTCATAGCTGGCTAATGATGTTGATTCCTATGGCAACAATAGGTTTTGAATGGTTTTGACACATCCACAAGTCAAGGGGGTGCCCCCAAATCATCCAAGCCATTAGATCATTTTAGTATTGAATCTTCTGGTGACTTGGGGATACTTGGGGATTTTCCATTTTGGGACACCTCCCTTTGGGCCTGTAGTAACTGTAAGAAGCAAAGATGAGCTTTGATGCCGCTTCGCGCCGAGGTCAGTCCTTTTTTCCAATCGAGCTTCGGCTTTCTGTACCTCGCTTGAAGCCGATTCATTGGCGCCTGGAAACAGCCTCCAACTGATAGGAAAGAAAATCCCAGTGACTCATGGATTACCCGTGGCTTTCTATGGTGGGTAATCCATGAGTCATGACTTTCAGGCTTCAGTGTTTGTTTCACCCTTCAGTTCACGGGTCAAAACTAAACCTTCAGAATCAGGGTTGCTTACCAGCGTCAGTTCCCAGTTTTTTATGGGACCCTGGTCTTTTTAAATGGGGACTTGGACTCAGGCCGGCTAAAAAGCTGGCAAAGTGCTCGGGCTGACGCGCAGCCCAATCCTGAGATATCTGAGTTGCAGACGGGGAAAGGATGATATTTCCAGATGAGCCGTGAGGTTGGCGATTCATTGGGATGTAGCTTGCATAGCCATTAATAGGCTGAAGGACCAGCAGTTTCTCACCAGTGATGACTTTCAGTACCCCACCATACTATACCCCACCAGACCCCACCATACCCGACCATACCCCGCGGCGCTATGCACCGCCATGCCGTGGCCCAGGCTTGCCGTTGAGAAGAAGGGCGATTTTGTGAAAGTCCAGCTCCCAGCCTCTCAGCCAGTCTTTTTCAGAAGCTTCAGTACCCAGAAAATTCCAACGACTCATGGATTGCCCGCAGGGTTGTTTCGGATTATCATGCTTCCGTGGTGGGTAATCCGTGAGTCATTTGACCTTTCACGCCGTAGATCGTAGATAATGATGAAACGAGCGGAAGCTGTTGGGCCAAGCCTGAGGCTTTTGGCCGCTGATGATTTTGTAGATTATTTTGGTTGGCCATGGTTGTTCTAAATCAATGTTGAGCTTGGGGTTTTCCCGA